ATGGCACTCGAATCTAGTAGGTTTTCATCAATAACGACTTGTCATTTGCTGTCAATGTCATGGCCACTAGGTTTTAATTAGAATTGAAAAGAAGTGCTTTTATAGTGACAATAGGTCCATACTTCAGGCTCATAGAATTAGAATGATTGGAATGTATTGCTAGTGATGAAAAAAATCTATTATACACCTTGGTAGTAAAGAATATTATTATGTATAAATAACTATTTCCATAAATAAGTTTTTAGATGTATTTACGTGCATAAAGATGACTAGATAATTTTGCATTAAAGCGTGTTATCATATAAAAACTGCTTTCATTTATCTTAGATAACACGCTTTCTTGCACAATTATCGGTAATTTTTATGCACTCATGCAAATATAACCGATAATAATTCCTCAACTCTATTTCAAACTACTTGAAAACATTGTTTCAAAAATACTTAGTAGTAAGTATTCAAAGAGGAAAACAAAATGATTTACCCACTGGAAGAATAGTTGCACACCAGGTATTCAGTTACCTAATTTCAGGTTCAACCATAAATTATTGGCTTTGACGTTTTTGCGTTTTTCTTTTCTTTTTCAGTGTGCGACTTGAATTTCAAGATGCAAAAGTTCTCCTTTTACCAAACAATAAAAAACAAACGTGCAGGCCTTAAAAATAAACTGCTAAATATGTCGAAACGTGCAACTTTGGAATAAATTTCGCCAGGAATCGACAAACTATTTCAAGTTTGCTCACGTCTCAGCTAAATTCCCCCTACATTAACACCGAAAATATTTACATATTTTTCTTCATATTATGTCATTTCATGAAAACAAGGTATCTGTTACTCCTATATGTATATAAAATCAAAAATAAGGGGTAAGTATTATATTATTCACAGGAATAGGTACTCGTTGTTTGCCTAGTTCAAAAATATTCATTCCAAGAATCTTCATCTGCTTTCTGGAAAGATCGTGTTACAAAGACATGTTTCGATATTTCCGCAACACATGGTTATAGATTGGACCAAACCGATCCATCAAATTTAATGTTAGCAAACAAGTGATGATCTTCGAACACGCCTTGATTCAACATGTGTCACATTATATTATGTGAAAAATGGCACATATTTCAGAAAGCATACGTTGAGTTGTTGAAAATTTCGCTTCGAAATACATGCTATCGTACTCAATGTATGAATTTACACACGTATATGTGTAAAAACAATAATAATTAGATTGGATCTCTCTAATTCCATATTTCGCGTTAGATATCTCCATTTAGTGAGACATTAACACTATACTCTGTAATTATTACAATCTAACTTGACACATACACTATAAAGAGTTAATTTTGCAGCAATTACACTGTCTTGCATGAGAATATAATTGCATAGAAACGCCAAACAATAATTAAAATGGCTATCAAGATTTGTGAACACAATGCGATACTGTACTCAGGTGATTGTTGATGGTGTTCGATATTACTTCAAAACAGAACCTTGCGCCACTCCTGTCTCTCGGACTCTAATTCATCATATACAAGGTGATTCGCAACATATACTTGTAGATAGCTCATGATCTCAGAAATCAGAAAGTATAGTGTAACTCAAAAAATGGAAAGTATAAACAATGTTTGGCCGAATCAAAAATATACAGGGTGACATTTTGAAACCGAGCAGCACGCAATATTTCTTCACTGATGACACTGACAATTAGGCGAAACACTTTGATTAACATATCAAGGGGGAAAACTTTTGAGGTATTTGTTATTACATTACATTCAACCCCTTCACCACCAAGGCATGAAATTTCAAGTAGCAACCCTCCATTAATTTGGTATTTTTCAAATCCTCATGTGATTCCAGGTGAGTTACACCTATTTTCAACTTTTTGTCTTCAAAATTGCAGTACTCATCATCATGTATTTTTGGATTGTAATTCACTACGATGATGAAAAACATGGAGTGCAGACACAACTAATTACTTAATGAATTATTCAAAATGGTCTTCAATGTTTTGTGAGCAAAAGTACAGCCGATATTCAAAATGTTTCCGACCTTCTGGAAATGTGGAAGATCTCTGGAATATCAGCTGCACAAAACAATGGAGACCATTTCGAACAATTCATAAAGTAATTAGTTGGGTCTGTAAATCATTTTTTCTACAAAATACAAATCAAATTTCAAACCAGTCGATTCTTCACGTTGATTTTTTCACTGATAAATAGGTTAAGGGGATAGAAAAATAATGGCAGAATATACACACTGACTTACATATCGTGGTAGTGAAACAGCATACTCCGGAAGAGTAGCAATTTGAAAGAAACGATTGAAAATACCTCAAATAATGAAGTTCCAAACCAGTCGAATCTTCAAATTAATTTTCCCATTGACAAATAGGTCAAGGTGATGGAAAAAGGATGGCATTATTCAATATATTTTTTTGTCGATCTCAAACACTTATATCCACATCACGTGTGAATAATCTATCGGATTTCGTGAATAAATAATTTGGCAACAACAGATGACAGCGGACCTGGGTTATTTCATCAGTAAATACCTTGTCAAAATTTCAGATCTTTTTTATGCTATACGAATTCCAAGAAAAAAAAATGTTCATTTGGGATTCTTTTGAAAATTCCGAAATCTTTCACAGTTTCAGGTGACACACTGTATCGATTTTATATGAAGAACCTCATATTTCAAAGAAGTACGAGATTACAGCTGATGGACTGGGCTAGCGAACAGTGTGATCCGAATTCAAATTGTTAAAAGGAGAAAAAAGTTATTCATATTTTAACAGGGGCAACATTTTGGGTTGCGACGAAATTAGCGTTGCGTATTTCGACGGAATGATTTGAGTTTTTGGTATTCTATTGATCCACTAGTGTCAACGTTTTTGGAACATTTAAGTCCAAGTGTAAAAGACATACTAAACGAGAACTAAATAATAAGTATATCACGTTTTCTACACCGCCATTTTATCTCGCCCTATATATCTCCCCATATCACCCCTAGTCCCATTAACTGTCTTCTATTGGACGTTGGCACTGATGGAGTGATAGAGCAGATAGAGGGTTAGTTTTTTTTTCGGCAGTCGGTTTTTGCGACCGGTCTCGTTCACTATCTTAATCCGCTTTGCACAAATTAGTTGTTAATCTTTTCCAGTGGTTGCTTTTCACGCTTGAAAACACACTCAATATACGCCACGACTATACAGGATGTTTCATTTTTTCAACATACAGGGTTAGTTTCATAAGAACAGTGAAATTGTTATTGAATTAAATAAATACAAAAAGCTCAAAGTCATTTCCACACAATCTTCATAACATGAACAACAATGGTAGATTTCGGGAGAAAAACAACTACTTTCCTATAAACGATTCCTGAATACCTATTGAGCTAGGCCACGCTAAATGTACACAGATGGTTCGAAAACCCCTCTTGGAGTTGGAGCCGGTGTGTTCAGCAGAAAACCGAAGACGGAAATTTCCGTCAATCTCGGCAAATATGCTACAATCTTTCAGGCGGAGGTATTCGCAATTGAATTGTGTGCTAGAGAGTTGTCAAATAAACCTCTAGTAAACAAAAATATCAGTATTGTATCAAACAGTCAGGCTGCTCTTAAAGCACTGAGCTCCAGCAAGATAAATTCCAAGCTTGTATGGAGGTGTATTGAATCCCTAGAATGCCTGGGTACTAACAACAGAGTCACTTTGCTGTTAGTGCCTGGACATCAGGGGCTGGAGGGTAACGAGAAAGCCGACATCCTCGCCAAACAGGGAACCGAATCTGTGTTCATAGGACCAGAACCATATTTTGGAGTCACCGCAAGTGCGGCGAAAACAACTATCTCGGGCTGGGCGGAGGGAAAAACACTCAGGTACTGGTCTGAATTACCAGGATTATCCCATTCGAAGGCGTTGCTGCCTAAACCATCGGAAAAAATAACCAGGCAGATCCTAGAATGGAGCAGGGGTAACCTGCGAATTCTGACTGGACTGCTTACGGGACACTGTCGTCTAAGATACCACCTGGAAAGGATGGGTCTGAACCAACAAACGGACTGTCGGTACTGTTGTGTGGAAGACGAAACGGCTGAACACATATTATGTTCATGCTCTAGCTTAGAAAGACTAAGGTTCGACACATTTGGCTTTACCAATTTAGAACCTATCGATTTCAGACAAATCTCACCCAATTCAACCATGAAGTTCGTAAAAAGATGTGGATTGTACGGTGAACTGTAACCTCTAGGGGTGAGCCACAATAGACCCATCTGGGGTCGCAGTGCAGGGGAGGTATTCGCCCCACTCACATGGAACCTAACCTAACCTAACCTAGGCTACGCTAGACACCTACAGACTGGTTTCGAGCTCTTTCACTCTCATCAGTGCAGGGTAGTCTCCAGCCAGCAGTGCAAAGACCGCCGACTAAGCGTAGCCTAGCCACACGAAAATCAAGTCGGCATTATATCCCCTTCCCCCCCGAGGCGTCTTTCATAGACAATATGAAAATTAATTACTTTTAACTGCAATTAACCAAAAAGGTACTTGTCGTCCGTGTCGAGCAACGTTAGAATTAATATTGTGCGGAGTGGTGTGCCTTAAGGACCCGCTCTTGGGCCCTTCAGGTGCTCTGCCAGGCATAAATCATTGATCTCAATTTATACTGGATTGATGAAAAATGAAAATAGGCACAGAAGTTATAGTATTCAAACAATACCTATGAAATGTTAGGCACCTATTCTATGGGGATGTTTCGAAAGGTCCAGGTAAAGTGTCATTCCGTATTCATAGGAGAAACACAATGAGGATCCCGCTGATTTCTGTGGAGAAAATAAGTAATTCAATTTGAAGAATGGTCTTGGATCTCGCCATATTAGCTATAAATTAGGAAGATGGATCAAGTTATATGACATTGGAATTTTTAATATCACTAGGAATTGTGAAAAAACTGAACTACCCACCTATACTTTGAACGCAGGAGGTTACAAATTTAATGTGTGCCAGGATCTCCAACTGTTCTTTTTTTAATATAGTAATTGACTACCTACACAAAATGACAGAGTGTCACAAATTTTGTTGAAGTTAATAAATAATATTGCTTTCTACTGTCCCGATAATTTTGCTTCGTAATTCGTTTCGTAGTACCTAGTTTGCTCTTCGAATTTTTTGTTTTTCTTCTATGATGATGTTATCTTCAGATTCTTTTACTGTTAACGGGTGTACTTCATGAGATTTCTTGCCATTTTTGTAACTGTAAATTTTTATAACACTCTGTTCTCTCAGCATGGCACTTTTCAAAAATTCAGGCTTCAAAGATTTTCTAACTGTCCTGGCTGCTATGTGGGAATAGAAAATATAACTGAAATTTTGAAATTTCCGTTGAAATGTCAGATCTCTGCCGACACAAAGTATTCGTACTTACTTTATGTTGAGCCTCTTTAGCAAAGAATTGTGGATCATTTTGAGAAATACTACTAAAAGAAATAATCACTCGACAAACACTGATGAAATGTCACTAGGATTCTACCTGTCATATGAGTCATACTAACATCTCAGTCATACTTACGATTACTACACAGGGTATATTTTCAAGCGTTAACGCGATCTACATAGAGAACTGAAAGAAGTATAATCCTGAAAATTATTAGGAACGATGAAGGAAACTCGGAGAATCCAACTAAGATATTTCCAGAACTGACGTCATTTTGGATATTATATTATAAGTTGGCGATGATGAATGCATTCAAGATATAAGACTTATTTCATCATCGTAATATAATTTGCATTGTTCCTGGAGAATCCTGGAAGAGAAACTTGAATTAGTATTACAATTCTCTAATCAAAAAATGTGGGTCCACCTTTCTACGAGCACCGCTTCATTTAGACAACGACTGTTGCTTTCCAATAGGTGATGAATAATTTGGAAAATAACTGGTATAAAACCACTGTTCATACCTAACTCTTGAAGGCGACACCCTCCTTTGTAGAGAGGCATCACGAACGCCAAAGTTGATACACTCCCCTCGTAAGGGTACCTGACGTGATTACATACACTCACATTAATGAATGTCGACTAATTATTCGACTGAAGAAATGAATAATGTAGTGAATCGATAAAAGTAGTTTTCTCATGAAAGAATGTTCAGAGGAGAATAGAACTATGATTTGAATTTGAGGAGTGACAAATTTAAAGTTGATGGAAACTTATCTAAAAATTCTGCATATTTCATTAGCCCAACTGGTATGACATTCTCAAATGTAGAGTACTGAAGTGAGGTGCCCTACAAGCAAATAGGAAGTTCTTGCAAATACAGGATCTGAGATTATGAGACATCTACGATGGTTTGCATTGTTCCTGGAATATCCTGAAAAAAACATGAATTAGTATTATGATTTTCTAATTATGCCATATTACTAAAATATACAGATGTTGATACAACGACTGTTGCTTTCCTGTAGGGCATGAATAATTTGGGAAAGAACTGGTATAAAACCACTGTTCATACCTAACTCTTGAAGACGACACCCTCCTTTGTAGAGAGGCATCACGAACGCCAAAGTTGATACACTCCCCTCGTAAGGGTACCTGACGTGATTCCATACCGAGGGAGACAACTCTTTTAAGTAGTGTACACCATGGAATTCATCTATCTGGTATGGCATCCACAGATGTGGAGTTCTGTAGTAAAGAGCCCTACAAACGAAGAAGAAGTTCACAGTTTCTTAGATTTTGACACATCTGGGATAGTTTGAATTGTTCCTGTTCGTTCCAATTGAGGGCTTCTGATTCCAGTGATGGAGTGAAAAATGCTTATTGAGCTGTTTATGAAATGAGAAGGAATATCAGTAGGCCCTGGAAATTCAAAGTGGAAATTGAAGCACTGTACCGAATATCTGGTAAAACATTCTAGTAATTGAAAAACAAAAGATTGGAATTTTGCATATTCGATAGATCATTCGACAGTCTAAGAAATGAAAGTGAAAAAGTGTGTGAAATTTTATGGCCAATCTCCGCGTATGTGTAAACGTTTGTATGTTCTATTGTCGGATGAGAAGAAGAAATCAACGCGTCGAACTAATGACTCCATCGCGGTTTTATGAGGGAGACATGAGTGGAACCAACTCGCCGACAATCGCACCTCAGATTGCTGGCAAATACCTGTAACGAGATGGCTCTCTCACACACCTACGGACCGAAAAACCAATTATCTAAAGCCCGAGATTTGGCCAGCGACGTAGAAAATACCTATTTCACTCGAAAATGTATAACAATCCGAGGATTTGCTGTTCTATGGATAACCGAGTTTTGGTAGAGAATTGTTCGACATAACTCGACATGTCCGATAGTTGGGATAACTGAAGAACATTGTCCAAGAAAATGGTCAGTGTGTCATCACCAACCAGACAATAGCTTGTCCCTGAATGGAATCTAAGAGCATCAGCGTATGTTGGAAAATGTGTCTTCTCCTATAAATTCTTTTGACCTTTCGATATTTCTTTCAGTTCATGTTCTCTATTGGCACTGGGTGTATTGACAATCAGAAAACGCTCTTATTTAATTCGGAGAGTGAAGGTGGTAGATTTTTTGAAGGTGAGAATTTATATTTTTGTAAATCTGGCAGACTCTCGAGCTTTTTTTGCGAAATCTCTCTCTTTATTTCCCACTATTTACAAAATTTGTTAAAAAAGTTTGATGTTGAAATTTTTGATACCTCGATTGCAAAATGTTTGAAGAAGAATAGGTATACTTTGGATGTTCTTTTCTAATTATCTATTGGCACTTCTCGCTTCTCAGATAATGACAATAGATTTTTCCTACGGCTATAACACAAAATTGCTATAGTGTGTTCGATAAATCAATAAGGTACTTAGTATGTCATCAATTTTATTTCCTTATCTGATATCACAATGCACTTCACTGTGTTATTATTTTTTTTATCTGTAGTAGAACAAGTAGAGTAATGCTAATTTTCCACTCGTATGATTTGCAGAATTCGCCTACGGCTCATGCTGCAAACGTCATTCTCGTGGGAAATGAATATCATTCCGTGCTCGTTACACAACATACTATATTTTCGAATCATTATCGATTGGAATTCAAGTTCTGCAAAATAATCTTCAATCGTTGATATAAAATGGCAATAGATCTTGACATGTATTTATGGAATAATCAACCCTTTCAAGAAATATTCAGGGCGTTCCTTTTTGAATTGGGTTGTTGGTAATTTTGACCTCGCTAATGGATCTATATGCTATATTCGCTAAATCGATTTGTTTCTGGAAAGCTATGGAATTCATTGCCTGAGCAAGTATTTCCAAGAACTTATAATCTCCAAATATTCCAAAGGTGTTGACATCAATATTTCATACCATGGACTCTATCGCACGCACTTTGGTCAACACCAAAGACAAAATTTTCCCCCTTCACAAATCAGGTGTTTATTAAGTCTCTTGCTCTGATTGTAATGCTCAATACATAGGCCAGAGTGGCAGACGGGTTCATACCAGAGTACTAGAACATGTGAAAATAATTGAAAAATCAGTGAACCCCCATATTGATGAATATAACACGAGAAACACGAGAAGCTCATTTGCAAATCATATCATCTACCACCAACATTCTTTTGATATCAATAACGACCTGCAAATTCTACAAATTTGTCAGTAATGTGCTCTTAGTCATCACAGAACTTGCGTTTTGCGTTTTGTGGATTGCTAAGAACGCCACTTGTCTTCCATCATCTGATGATATAGGTTTGTTTTGGGTAATTACTTGACTCCAACGTTTTTTCGGTTTTTTCCAAAAATGGGTTTTGTCATAAAATCTTGATTATGTTCGTCCTCATAGGGGCACAGGGCCCCTTTACAATTAACCTGGCCCTGCTTATTTGCACAATAATTTTATTCAAAGTTTTTTCCTAATGTTTTTTTTCATTCCCACGTGAGTAAATTCTCTATTTCTTATATTTTTCATGATTAACTTGTACCATATTATAGGACTTTTGGTTTGTAAGGATTAAGGCTGATGATGGACACATTACTGTCCGAAACTCGTTCCCCTGAATAATCTTCCGATTATTAAACGTTCTGGAGATGATTTTGTGTTTTCTAACCCTTGAATATGGGTGTCTATGAGAATGGGCCGTGTTTATGGAACCACTATGGTTGGAAATGGCACTGTTTCAATCTTTTTGTAACTATATTTCGACGAAATTGACGTAGCAATCTTTATTGTTTTTACGAGACAAGTGAGACGTCAACGTTCCATTGTTCGAAGATTTTGAGGAAAAATTCAGGGAAGCGGGCTGTGCCATTGTTCGGCTCTGATTCTTTATATACGAGGTGTTGATGCATTTCGGCGAGTCATCTCGGCAACAATGGGTTCGTTTTCCACGGTTCCACACTGTCGAAAATCGTTAAGTCTTGGTTCGAGCGGAGAACAATCAAATGAAAATACAATATTTAGTCGTTTCAGGGGTTTGTACCTTGTAAAAGTATATTCTGAAGCTGAAGCCTACTATTGATTTGGGTGTGTTTTTCGTACCATGCATTGAATATTCTATCCTTCCATTGCAATTAAATCATCGACCAAGTTTTTAGGTTTATACATTGACAAAAAACTAATATTCGATGAACATGTAACATTAATGTGTAGAAAGTTAGCCTCTGGATGCTTCGCTGTTAGAGCTATTGCTGCAGAATTAGGGTTTGTGCCTGCTAGAGCTGCATACTTTGCCCTCATCTAATCTCATTTGAGATATGGAATTGCATTCTGGGGAGTCTGCAATGATCAGCTATTCCAGAGAAGTTTTGTTTTACAAAAACGTGCCCTAAGATATATGTGTGGAGCGAAATCAAGAGACTCATGTATACATTTATTTAAGAATGGCGGCATCCTCACAGTAGTTGGTTTATTCATCTTGGAAACAACGGCTCTGATACAAAAAAACATAGCTTCTTTAGAGCTTGTTTCATCACATTACAACACAAGACAGAACGGACAAGTTAAATTGATAAGACCCCGTACCACTATGATCAAAGACTCCATTATTTATAACGTAATAAAGATATTCAATCATTTGCCAAATCACATCAAAGAAATTCCCTGTAACAAAACATTCCGGACTAAGGTGAAAATGTTGCTCGTTCAGACTCCTCTATACAACCTCGAGGAATATTTTCCACAGAGATTCTGAAATTATGTTTTTCTCCTTGATTAATTCTTGAAAGGATCGTTTTATACAACATATATATACTCTAGAAATATTCGACTATAGCTTTATAGGAGCTCTCACATGTGAGTTTTATTACAATATTTTATGTTTTATTATTCATTGTCTATGTTGTTTTTTATTTCTTATTTTTAACTAAGGCTTTATACGAGCTTTTGATTGTATATTTTGAAATGTATTTTAGAAAGCTTCACATTTTGAACTGCATATTGTTTATTATATTTCATTCAAATATGTATATGTACGAGCTTTGTCAACAAATACGAATGTATTTATGGCAATAAAGCATATATTGAATTGAA